CCGGCCCGGCCCGGCCCCGCTCCGCCAGCAGCGGCCGCCGCCCCGCCGCGCCCTGACCTCCCACCCCGCGGCCCCCTGACGTCACGTGACGCAAAGCAGCGCTCCCCTTGGAAACTACCCGACTGGTAGGCAGCGCTGGCACGCTATTGGCTGGAGAGGGGAGGCCGCGTGCTCCCCCGAGCCCTCCTATTGGCTTCCCTCCCGCCCAGGCCCACCGGCAGCGGCGAAAGGGGCGAGGACTGCGGCTCCCGGCATGCCAAGCGGCGCGCAGCGCCGATCTATGGGCCTTCGGTGCCGCGGGGTACGATGGGAGTTGTAGTCAGCGCCCGGGCAGCCCGGCCGAGAAGGCCGGCGGGGCGAGCTGAGGTCCGCGGGGTCGAGCCCACTAGCCGCCGCGCCGGCCAAGAGAGCCTTTGGTGTTCCCCAGTGGCACAAAGCACACCCCGACATCCGCCCCCTCCTTTGCCTGGCAGCAAAACAGAACCCTTTTCCTCACGTCCAGCCCTACAGAGTGGTGGGGGTGCACAAAAGTTCTCCATCTCCATTTGAAGCCACCCAGTACACGGCACTGGTGAAGCCCCATCTTAAATCCTGTGTTGGGTTTTGGGCCCCTCTCAACTAGAAAGACATTGAGGTGCTGGAGAGAGTCCAGAGAAGGCCAACGAATCTGGTGAAGAACAAGTCCTGTGAGGAGCGGCTGAGGGAGCTGGGGTTGTTCAGCCTGGAGAAAAGGGGGCTGAGGGGAGACCTTATTGCTCTCTACAACTGCCTGAAAGGAGGGTGTAGAGAGGTGGGGATTGGACTCTTCTCCCAAGTTACAGGCGATAGGACAAGAGGAAATGGCCTCAAGTTGTGCCAGGAGAGGTTCAGATTGGATATTAGGAAAAATTTCTTCATGAAAAAGGCTATCAAGCATTGGAATAAGCTGCCCAGGGAAGTGGTTGAGTTGTCATCTCTGGAGGTATTTCGAAGGTGTGTAGATGTAGTGCTGATGGTGGACTCAGCAGTGTTAGATTTACCGATGGACTTGATGATCTTAGAGCTCTTTTCCAATCTAAACGATTCTATTATTCTATGAAGACGGACCCCTCTCTCTGAGGAGCAGCATGGCTGGCTTCCCACAGCTGTCTGCCTATCCTGCACAGGGGTTGAGATACATATATTTATATATGTATATATTTGGAGGATGCCAGTGCCATGCTGCTGCCATGTTCTGTTTGGGAGGTGGCGGGAGGGGAGGGTGGGCTGTGTCTCCAAAGCAAGACCATAGGATTAAACTATGCTGAGGGGATACGTAGCATTTCCATACTCAGGGTTCCCTGCAAGCAAAATCCGTTGTCCAGATAACAGAAAAAAATATATTGAAGTTAACAAAAAAAGGTGGCAATAAAACTTCAGAGGGAGCTGCGGTCAGTCTGTCCTTGATGTATTAATTTCTTCAGCAGCAATTCAGGAGGTGCTCCCTGGCCATAAAGAGAAACCTTTAATCTCACAATCAATAGGCTACATGGCAGAAAATAGCACAGGGGAAGGAGGTTTCATCTGCAGATGGAGAGTGGCTCCAAAGGGCACTGAAGGTGCTAAGATGTGTTGGCGTGTGCCCGCGTGTGTTTAAGATGTAGAACTCTAACTAGGATCTGAATTTTCTGGTTTGGGGTTTCTTGCTACAATGGGTTGAACTGAGATCCAGAACAACACAGTCATTGGACTGCAAGGAGTACCAAAATCCAGCCTGAAGTGCATAACCATTTCTTCTGAGTCAGGTGCATGTGTATACTAATGCAGCTTTTGAAAGAAATCCAGTAAAAATAACCCTTTGTTTGATTGATTTACAAAGCATCATAAAGCATAAGCCTGCTTAGATTTACTTTACAGCACCACAAAGCACTCATTTTACTTGTACATTGCCAATTAATTTTTTTGTTTAAATTAAAAAAAACCAAAACCTAAAAAATAAAGACCAGAATACTGTTACTGCCCTTTAAAGGCACATTGTTATTCATCATCAGTGCATTTCAGTTTCCACTTTAGGTAGCATATGAAGGATTAGGTTTTCAATGAAAGAGGGGGAGAGAATAAATTGCATCCTCTACCAAAGAACTGCCAGACCTTTTCAGATGGGTGCATACCATGAGCCCTTCCCATGTTAGTCAGCTTTATCTAAAACTTCCAAAGCAATGTCTGCCCCTGAATTTCATGGGTTTCAGGGTCAGTCACAACAGAATTGTGGGGCTGGGGAGGTCAGAGGCCATTTTTGTCAAAGGGTAGTGACCTTAGCAGCAAGAGGTAGCCTGACAAAAACAGGATTCATGCTACTGAATGGAGTTCTCACTGCTCTTCCCCCGCTGAGTCTTTTTTCTACCTGGTAATGAAAAATCTCGAAGAATTGTAATGGATTTTTATACGCAGACTTACATATATGTTTGTGTGTGTACATACCTCTATTTAAAATATTGTATATGTTATGTTAATTAAGCTATAATATATAATATTACAATGTATTACATTGTATATATTACATATGTCTATCTTTGGTTCATGTCAAAAAAGAAAAAGCCCATGAAAAGATCACACTTTAAATACAATGTATATTTGTTGTGAGAAAATTAGCAAGAAAAAAAGAAAAAGAGAAAGAGAAAAAGAAAGAGAGAAAAAAAAAAGAAAAGAAAAAGGAAAAGAAAAAGAAAAGGAAAAAGAAAAAGGGAAAGGGAAAGGAAGAAAGAGAAAGGGAAGGGGAGAAAGAGAAAAAGAGAGAGAAAGAGAAAAGAGAAAGAAGAAAATAAAAGAGAAGAAAGAGAAAAAGAAAAAGAAGAAGAAAAAGAAGAAGAAAGAAAGAAAAAGAAAAAGAAAAAGAAAAAATAGAAAGAGAGAAAATGAGTTGTAATACTTCGGCAGGTAGTATAAAAGTTTCTTCAGAAAGATTTGTGTAGTCACATTTACTTTATATACACATAAATACGTGGCAAGGCAAGAAACAGCAGTTTCAGTTACCGTTGTCAAAAGAAGGGCTTAATTAACAGTCTGCAGGCTGTGACTCAGGAGGTTTGGCAATTTGTCCTAGGATGATTTAAGCAATTCCTGCCCCTAACCAGCCATTCTACCCGGAGGTTATCATCCTCTCACGACACACTGCACCTCACAGCCTGGTATATACCTACCCCTGTGACCTGAAAGCCGAGGCAGTTTATATTAATACGGTGGGTTCTGACCTGCGGTGGTCGAGGAAGGGGCCTGCTTTCCCTTGCAGCGCTTCTGAGGCAGATGGTGATGGTGACCTCTGCAGAGCTGTGTTCAGAAATCTATATATTGCTCCCCATGAGTGTTCAGTTTACATTTCAAAGCCCTCATCAGGAAGCGGTTCAAAGGTATTTGGAAGTACACACTCAGACTCCTGTGGCATCAACACAAGTTTCTAAATGAATTAAAAAAAAATGAAGAAAGGCTGTGGAGGTTCCTTTGCAAAAGACAGTCAAAGTCCTATCTGACTAATGATATTCTGTGGGTATTTTTTTATGAGCATTTTGTGGTGCTGCTGTTGGTTAAAATTCCCTCTCCCAGCACTTTGTGCATGGTGTTGCTATTCTCCATCATTCTCCATCTCCATCTCCATCTCCATCCATGCTATTCTTTATCATTTCTGGGGCTGACACTGTATCCAATATCCATCCTTTCTCCTGAGCCGTCTCCTTGGGCTCTTTAAGTCAAGATAAATGAGTTGCTTCCAAACATGTTGAAGGATGTAGCACATTTTTACACTAAAATATTCTCACTTTCTTCTCTCTTTCAGTCAATGGGGATTAGATTTTATTGGGTTTAACAAGCTGTTGTAAGAAAATGTAGGAAGTGCTTTTGGCTTCCCTTGAGTGGTGCTGGTGTTCTCCTCCATCCTCATCCTTCCAAAGACCCACCTTTGAGTTACTCTTCAGTTCTGCCCACAAACGTCTCACCTGTACTTCTGGTCCTTGGAGGGACCACGGCAGGTCATGGTCAGCAGTCCATCAGGTAACTAGAAATTGATCAATGTTCCAGTGACAGTGAATGAGTCAATGGGGTCACAGTGGGCTCTTGGAAGATGTGATGCAATGCAGAGATTTGGAATCTGCTGGAGAAGAGAAAGTGGATTTTTCTATTCTAGTGACACTGCCTTTCTCAGACTAATTTCTCACAGTCTTGATGAGGCAGGTATTTCTGCGCTTGTTAATAATTAATAGCCCAGATCAATGCTTTGATTCAAAAAATCTTCAAGAACAAAATGCAAAGTATGACTTTGGTCTCAAACGCATCAAAACTCCAGCTGCTGAAGACTGGTCACTCAAAAATTTTCCTCATATGACTTACCTTCTTCACGTGTAGACTCTTTTGCCTGAAGGTGACTTGAATAAAATAGACGAGTTAGCCTAAGCCTGGTCCCACCTATCGTTAATAAAAGTAAAGAGTAAGTGTATAGCGGGTAATAACAGCAGCTGACAGGGGTAACAATTCAGAAGGTTTGTGACACTAACTCAGGAAACAAGATTTTAATCAGATACATAAAGGTGGAGAAAGGCTCCTGCTATGTTTCTGAAAAAACCCATCAGAACCTCGGCTGAATACTTAAAAGCCCGAACACTTGCCAAACCTGGCCTGGAACACCTTTCCTCCCTCAGTCCTTGCAGACCCCCAGCTCCTGTAGTTATTTCAGACCCCAAACTCTCACCAGTTTTATATGTTCTCAAGTCCTTCATTGGATAAAAACACACATGGTCACACTTAGGGTTTTTTAGAGGTTTGCAGCTTGTTGAAGTTTTTGTATTTAAGTAAATTTAAATGGTACCTACTTAATTTCAAGACTTTTATTTGACTGTGAAAATCCCTCATATATCTTGCACAACTGTACAAATAACACTTTTGTCCATTTTAGGCATAAATGTGGTTATCATGACACTGGGTGCTATCAAAGATTTTATTTACAAAACAATTACTAAAATGCCTGATGTCATATTTCCATTTATTTATTTCTTACCCATAGGGTAATAGGTCCACCATAATTGCTTGGTGCATTTTATAATACAGAAGAAAAAGCTATGTTAATAAAATCTAACAAAACCTCACAAATAGCTACAAATCTGACAGAAAATGTCTAAGAAAAATTCTCCCCAAAATACAATACATTTTCCACACATACACAGTACAGAATAAGTTCAAAGGCACAGCTTTGAATTTTGCTTTTGTAGAAGTATATAGAATTATCACCACGTGAAGGAATTGAGAGAACAGTTTCATACCTGTCAATAGGTAATTAAATGAATAATCATGTTTGCATTGTCTTTTTTTTTACATAATTGCTTCATATCATCATATTTAACATATGTGGCTCTGAATCCAAAATCTTCCCAGTCTCCAGGTCCCTTCTTAACCTTGTCATTACTGACCAGAGAAATTAGATTTTTCCAGATTGTGCAAACTTAACA